GAATGGAGCGCGGAACCAAAAAGGGGGACAAGGCCAGACAGGAAACCCATCGGCATCGCCTAGCGCTGGGCTGCAGCGGCATCTCGCAAGGCTTCGAGACGGTTCTTTCAATTTTTGGAGTACCAAGGTGAAGCAACCCCACAGTCCGATTGTTGGGGAACGCCTTGGCGCTCAATGGCTTTCCATCCGCAGTCGCTGGTGCACGGAGCAGCCGCTGCTTGTTTTGGATTGGGTGCATCTGTCACGTGTGGACCCATTTCGAAATTGGACACATCACAGAATAACTCTGAAGCCAGATCTTTAAGGAGCGCTTTCTCCAGTGACCTGCCTCCTCTTCCCCCTTTCCGAACCCCATTGCGCCGACGACAACTCGCTCCCTTTGCAGAGTCGTTGTCGCTCACTCCGCCATTTCTCTTTTTTTTTCTTCTGGATGATTTAATATTTGGTTTTCCCTTCCAATTGCCCAACATGAGTTCCTGTAAGTTACAACGCGGCGCGTCCCGAGCTCGTGTGGCTGCTGGAGCTTGCGTGACTCGCGCAGCTCTTGCAGCTCCGGCGAGCATGGTGTTTGTCCATTGATGGCCGCGACTATGCGCTAACGATTTTCCTCGCCCTGCAGTACGGTTCCTCGACCTCGTCAAGCCCTTCGTGCCGTTCCTCCCTGAGGTTCAGCAGCCCGAGACCAAGATCCCCTTCAACCAAAAGTTGATGTGGACGGGCTTGACCCTCCTGATCTTCCTGGTCATGAGCCAAATGCCACTCTACGGCATCGTCTCGTCGGACACATCGGATCCGCTATACTGGTTGCGTATGATGATGGCGAGTAATCGAGGTACCTTGATGGAACTCGGTATCACGCCCATCATCTCGTCTGGCATGGTCTTCCAGCTCCTCGCTGGTACCCACATGATTGATGTCAACCTCGACCTCAAGTCCGACCGCGAACTGTACCAGACCGCCCAGAAGCTGTTCGCCCTCATTCTCTCCGTCGGCACCGCAACCGTCTACGTCTTCACCGGTCTCTATGGTCCTCCGAGCGAGCTCGGTGCCGGAATTGTCTTCCTGCTCATTCTGCAGTTGGTCATCGCTGGCATGATCGTCATTCTTCTTGATGAGCTTCTCCAGAAGGGCTATGGCCTTGGCAGTGGTATTTCCCTGTTCATTGCTACCAATATCTGCGAGTCCATCATGTGGAAGGCTTTCTCCCCGACCTCGATCAACACGGGCCGTGGCCCCGAGTACGAGGGTGCCGTCATCGCCCTCTTCCACCTGCTCATGACCTGGCCCAACAAGCAGCGGGCGCTCCAGGAGGCTTTCTACCGCCAGAACCTGCCCAACATAATGAACCTGCTCGCAACCCTCATCGTGTTCGCCGCCGTCATCTACCTGCAGGGCTTCCGCGTCGAGATCCCGGTCAAGTCGTCGCGCCAGCGTGGTGCTCGTGGCTCGTACCCCATCCGCCTGTTCTACACCTCGAACATGCCCATCATGTTGCAGTCGGCTCTGTCGTCCAACATCTTCCTGATTAGCCAGATGCTGTACTCGCGCTTCTCCGAGAACCTCTTGGTCCGCCTTTTCGGCGTCTGGGAGGCTAAGGATGGCTCCTCGCAGTTGTCGGCTGTTTCCGGTCTCGTCTACTACATGTCGCCTCCCCTCAACTTCAAGGACGCGCTGCTGGATCCTATCCACACCGCCGTCTACATCGCCTACATGCTGACCGCCTGTGCCATCTTCTCCAAGACCTGGATTGAGGTGTCTGGCTCGAGCCCCCGCGATGTTGCCAAGCAGCTCAAGGACCAGGGCCTCGTCATGGCTGGTCACCGCGAGCAGAGCATGTACAAGGAACTCAAGCGCATCATCCCGACCGCTGCCGCCTTTGGTGGTGCCTGCATTGGTGCTCTGTCTGTCGCCAGCGACCTGATGGGCGCGCTGGGCTCCGGCACTGGAACCCTTCTTGCCGTCACGTAAGTCGAACCCTGCAACCAACAACTCGCAACACGAGCTAATCTGAACTAGGATCATCTACGGCTACTTCGAAATCGCTGCTAAGGAAGGAGATCTTGCAGGCATGAAGGGCATGATCATGGGCTGAGAACAGTTAGACATATTTCTCGACAGCTTGCTGCGCCCCTCTGCCCATTCACCGGCTGCGCTTCGTATCCGGAATTTTGTCATGTCGAATTAGTCTGTAATTGTTTGGGGAGTCAAGCGCTGGCTGTCCTGTATACTAGCAATGAAGCAAAGTCATAAAGGGAGGCTTCCTAAAAGCGAGCGGGTTATTTTTGCATCCAAACGGGCAGTCGATTCGGAGGTCTTCGATAGTGAGTTAGAGGACTTAGGCGCTCGGGCTGCTCATCAAGTTGTTTTAACTGTTGTTCTTTCCCCTGATCGTGCAGGAAATGGCGTAGACAATCCAGTCACGGACGGGTCTTGCCGGCAGCTGTTGTTCCGATGTTGGCAGTTTCCCGGTTTTTACAGTTCAACAGTTTTACGAGCACGTGAAGGTCAATAAACAGATGGTGAATAAGTTGGTTTGCGCGGCACTCGGGCTCCCAAGCTTCAATAAATCACACAAAACCATTGGGGAAGTAACGAGAAGCCCACACAGACACAGACGTAGACACGCACACGCTCACACGAACACCCATACCAACTTACGATGGCTGCGCCAGTAGCCGCCATTCCGTCCACCGATGTTGATATGGTATCGGATTCCATGGATACCGTTTCTCCCCCGCTTCGACGCCGCACCAACCTACCAGCTCTCGACAACGACTCGGCGCAACAGATAATCAATGCTATTACCCAGGTAGGGGCACAACTCATCGACCGCATCGACCAGCTGGGAGAGAGTGTCAACCGGCTTGAAGGGAGTATCGGCCGGCTAGAAGGGAGTGTCGACCGGCTGGAAGGGAGTGTCAGTCGGCTAGAAGGGAGTGTCGACCGGCTAGAACAGACCGTCAACAATCCTACCAACCATATCGCCTTGCTGGAAGGGAGTGTCAACACCCTCACGGATACATTAAACGCACTGCAGATCAGATAATTGGCGAGGTCTCCCCACCCTTCACTTATTCTCAACGTGTAGTGCACTGGGCTGACTGAGTTACAGCTACGCCAACGCTCACGTACGCATGCAAAATGCCGAGCGTGTCAGCGGTGCGTACCGCTACTTGGTGCCGCTGCGTTCGCTGCGGGATGGCAATGTTATCGCCAACTTCCCCAACACTGATCGAGCACAAGCGGAGGGTGATAGGGCTTTGTTACGGAATAACGGTCCATTAATGAACTAGTTTGCATGGGGCCAAGGGGGGCGAGGCATTGATGGATGATTTCCTAAAAGTGTTGATAGATGAGAAAGGTCTGAATATCGCAAAACGACGTCGCAATTACACCTTGTCCATATTATCATGAGATGACTTTCTTTTTTCCGATTTTTCGCTCTCCGTATAAGTGGAGCCGGGCCTCCCTCTGGCCAAAAAAAGCCAAACTCGAAATGGGAGAAAGAAATCAAGAGAAGAGAAAGAAGTACAAAAGAAAACGAAAAAAGAAAAGTAAAGGAAACCGAGAAGAATAAATTAAGTGAAATAAGTAAGAAGCAGACTTTGGTCTTCAGAATGGCCTTCTTTTCGTTCCAAAGGTCTCGTCACCGTCTCCAAGCACACTTGGAGTTCGGCTTTTTTTTGTCCACGGCGCGCTGTCGAAACACCTCGGGACAATGCCTCGACCGGACGACGAAGCGAAAGGCATCCACAAGTCCCAAGGGAACTGGACTGTATTACTTTGTTCATTCTTTCTTTACTCCATTGACCTTTTCTTCTACTAAATTTCGACTATTTTAATTATTTTGTTGTTCGGTTTCTTCTAACCTGTTTCTATTTTCGACATTTCTTGTCCTGTTTTGGGGTTGGGCTTTTTTAGTTAGAGGGTGAAGGGGCATGCAATTTACGACGTTCTTCTCGTACCCGGAAGAGATGCTTTGAATAAAGTGGCAGTGTGTCAGTGGCCCTCTGACCGGAGGGCCAACACGTGCTGACGGGATACTGTAGTCGTAAGACTGTGAGAGCATTTACGAAGGTTACCCCCAGAGTCATCTCATCCCTGTGATACGACGACAAGCACGACATGATCAAGCCGTCTTCGGCGTCTGGGTGTGTTTGCGAGTGCGCCCGGAAGCTGCACTTCGCTTCAATGGGCGCATTAGCTCCCGTCGGTTGTGAAAGCGAGTGGGACTGACTTGGCGGTGAAGACGACGCAGCAGTTCTCAAATGTTTGCTATCACTGCATACATTACAAACACCATACGGGTAGCCAGGGAAACGAGCTAACATGCCTTTACTGAATTGTATGCAGGTGGCGGCTTGCGGAGCTTTTGTGCTGAGTGTTTTGCAGCTGTCTGTCTGACATCATTTAGCAGCCGGGCCCGATCTCGAGCCTTCGGCCCCTCAAAACCTCCCTCGAGGCAGCTCCTTCCCAAAGCGGCAAGAACGGTCACGTCAGTTCTCGAAAGCTGAGGGAATGCTGGAACAGTGATGACGCTGTTCCACAATTTAAGTCAGACCATTCTTGTCCCACAGATTAGATACCTAGCCTGGTTGTGGAGATGGTCATGCCATTGTTTTTCTGACTTAGCTGCTGTGTTCATCGTCGTGCTCATCGTTCTCGGGCCGAGCAGAGCCCCATCTCATGGTCCGAACACGGGCCTATCTCCATCTTCAAAGCACCCGACCCCACCTCGCTCACCGGCGTGCCGGTCTCGCCGTTTTCCGGGGCCAAGCGTGATAAATAAGCGCAACCCCCAGACAGACCCGCACCAAGAACCTGCATGCTGTGTCGGGAAGGCAGAAAATCTTAAGAAAGACGACCCCAGCAAACCCACTTCGGCGAAGAGAATGCGGCAGGTGCAGCAAATGCAGCAACTAGTGTATGCAGCAGCAGGGTTTCCCGTTTCTGGACCACTGCAAAGCTTCCCAGGCACCGAAACGGTCTTCCGCGATTAACAGGGACCATTCGTTCCGCTTTCTCTCTGCTTCATTTTCCAAATATTTTCATCGGCACCGTGCCGCACATCGAATCCGATCCCCAAACCGCCCGTGGCCCATCCTTCCGCTGGTCTTTGCTCCCCCCTGCTTGGAGACCTGCAGTCGAGATTTGCGTGCCGACTTGCCATGCGCCTCGACGACGCGGGTAAGACGGACTTCGCGTCGTGTCCCTGGCCAATATGGCGGACCGATGACTTCACCCGCTGTTTTCAGCGAGAGTAAGTAGCAAACCCCCAAACCCGCCCCGAAGTCACTCTGCCGTGCCGTCGGTGTGCTTTTTTGTGACGCCATGGCGTTCTGCAAAACCGTTAAACTAATCCGCACAACTGAAACACAGCTATCTCAAGGTCTTGCTGCCATTGGTCGTTATCAGCCTATCGTTTCTCCAACTCGTCGCCCAGAACATCATCAAGTTAAACGCTTCCCGAGGTTACGAGCGGATTGGCGAGGGCCCGGCGACGTTATCCCCGCCGACACATACGGAATTGCCACGAGAAGAACAACCGATCTGCGAGAGCGATGAGGAAGAAGACCTGACCATCAACGGCGGCCGCCTGGCGCTGGCAAGGACAACAACGAAGGGCTCGATCGTGCAGGCCGACACCCCGTACGGCCAGGCACTTTCCGTCTTCGTTGAGGAGCTCGCTGCTGCGGGGCTGGTCGCTGCGAATGCCGTTGCGCTAGCTACCGGAGCATATGGCAATGAGTGGGGAGGCGTTGCCGCTATCGCCGGCTTGATCGTCTGGGTCTACGCCCTGATGCTCACGTCGCTCCGGCTCTTCCTGGGGAACACGCAGTGGCGTGTCCCGCATATCTGGAACCACACGGCTGCCATTTACAGCTGCCAATGGTTGTTCACTGTGGCCATATTCCGCTCCGTTTTGATCCGTTCTAGTTCCCAGTTGGCGCAGACGTTGGTCATTGTTGAGTTCGCGCTGACATCGCTGCTCTTTGGTATGGCTCTCACCACCCGAAAGGGGAACAAGACCATCCTCTTGGAGTGGGAAGACGGCATCGAGCCCGGCCGGGAGAATTTGGCGTCGCTGTTCTCGCACTACACCTTTTCTTGGGTCGACACGATCGTCTATTCCGGTTGGAAGGAGCCTTTAAATATCAAGAGGGTTTGGAACTTGCTTCCCAAGGACAAAGCTGCTGCCGTCCTGTCCAATTACCGTCTTTTCAAGAAGACTACCTCGCTGGCCGTCCATCTTTTAAAATATTTTAAAGGCAACCTGCTTGCGCAAGCTGCCTGGGCTGTCATGGGTGGCGCGCTCACCTTTGCCCCTACTCTCCTCCTGAGAGCCATTTTACAATACGTCGAGGACCCCTCGATCGCCCCCCGAAATGTGCTGTGGTTGTACGTTATCCTCCTTCCTTTGACCGATATCCTTCGCTCCGTCTGTGACGGCCAGGCCTTGTGGATAGGCCGCAAGATTTGCATCAACATTCGTGCTATCCTTGTCGGCGAGATCTATGCCAAAGCCCTTCGCAGGAAAGCGGCGGCT